ACTGAGGGAGCCTCTCTGCAGGGAAACCAGGCACAATGGCCAGTCAACTTCCAAGTTTTCTGTGTGTGTCTCCAGCCCACAGAAGGGGTTGTGTGTGTGTGTGTGTGTGTAGTTGTAAGGGGTTGAACTACTTGGGTAACCATTATAGGGTAACGGATAAATAGCATCCTAACCCAGAACCTTTAGGTGTTACCATACATGGAGAGCACCTGTACTTTCATCACAGATTTTTAGCGGTATATCAAAACTTCACCAAAGCACTTTGCTCCTTTTGCGTATTCAACTAGATTTCAGAACTGTTTGAGTCTTTGAAGAGCTATTGTAAGTGCCCTACATGGGACTGAATGGGGTTCTGAAAATGGAAGATCTTACTGTTTTTGCTCAGTCAGATGGGAATTTTAATCAGGTTGTTATCCAGACAATGGATCTTCAGGAACCTTAAATTTCAGGAGCTTTTAGCCAACTATAATAGTTAAAGTGTGTCTGCCTCTGTGTGTTAGAGGGAGGTAGATTGAAAAGTGGTGGTACGCAGTACAGAAACTTCTCCACAGACGCACAGAATGGGATGGGGATATTGACGACTCTCCAGCAAAGCAATGGGGGTGAGAGGGTGACATCACAGCATCCTGCTTTGAATTTTACAACAAGAGTCTTCAGGCAGAGTTCCCATATTTAACTAGATAAATACATATTCTGAGTCACAATGGGCTAAGCTAAGATGGCTTGCAATTTTACTGGAGCTCAATTTGCTCACACAGAGGTGATGGCTTGACAGGCTTTGAAGAGTGAACTGTGAAGAAAGGTAAAAAGAATTTATGTGTAAAAACGAAGTGTGCGTACACAAGCCTGTGCCAGTGACCATGACAGGCAGTTGTGAGTCGCTGAATGTGGGTACTCGGAACAACTCAGGTCCTCTGCAAGAGCTGAATACACTTTTCATCTCTGAGCCATCTGTCCAGTGACTCAAATCATTCTCTCCCCCTTGGGTTTTTGTTTTGTCTGTTTTTGTTTTTAGATAGGGTTTCTCTGTGTAGTCCTGGCTGTCCTAGACCTCACTCCATAGACCAGGCTGACATGGAACTCAGAGGTCCACCTGCCTCTGGCTTCTGACTGCTGGGATGGAAGGCATATGGCCAAACTGTTCCTTTATACAAACATCAGTGGCACATTATTACAGACAAACAACTGTGGAACTAATGGGAGGACACATATATGCCAAGGGCAATTAGCCTGCTTTGGACCTGTAAAAACTTGTATTTACATAAATATGACATCAATATAAAGACATCCTGATGGCAACGATAGCATCAGTATAATGTGTACAGAGGAGACTTGTGAGTCAAATGTTTATTTTTGAAAATGTCTCCTGAATAGGTCTTACAGGTCCACCAAGGTTGTAAAGTAGACTTGTTACTCCTTAAGAAAACCACATATGGGACTGGAGACATGGCTTAGTGCTGAAGGACACTTCCAGAAGACCTGTGTTCAACTCCCAGCACTCACATGTCACCTTACAACTGCAACCTCAGTCCCAACACTTTCGTCTGGAGGCAGAGGCAGGTGGATCTTTTAGTTTGAGGACAGTCTGGTCTAAAAATGACTTCTAAGAAAACCATACACATAATTAGACTGTCTCAAAAAAAAAAATAAAAATCATAAATAAATAAAATATATTTTTTTCTTAAATACCAGGTATGGGTGGGACTTGCCTATAATCTGGAACTTGGGAAGACTGAATAAGTATGACTGCCATTAGAGGTCATCCTAGGCTACCTAGCAGTCTCTTGGCCAGTCTGGACTATAGAGTAATAAATACTCTGACTCAAAAAAAAAAAAAAAAAAAAAAGGCTGGGTTTGGTGAGTTCTTGGCAGCAGAAGCAGATTTGCTTCAAGTTACAGGCCAGCCTAGGCTACATACTGATGTACAGGCCAGCTTGGGCTACAGAGGGAGACAGCCCCACGTCCACCATGGCACAAAGAAAAAAAAATTCTTTTTTCTGAGATCGCTAGTAAATTCTATCGTTTATAATTGGCAGTTGCATCTGTATGGTTCTAATTTATTTTCAAAGCTCTTCCTTTTAAGTGTCTTACTTTGGATAGTCAAACCAAGTGTTTTACTTGGAAAAGAAATTTCCAGCTCTTCAGACTAGGCTGCTCAGCACTGTGTCCCTGACCCTTCCCCTGGCGTGGGGGGTTCCCACTGAGTTCATTTCCTGAGCTCTGTCCAGTTTGATGAGCAGGCTGTATGGTGCTTCTTCTAGGATATAGTGGGAAGTGCATCCAGGAACCTGCTCTAGGGGTGCACGCTCCCCATCAGATATGGCACAACCAATTCAAGTGCATTGCTTCACACTCAGTCTATCCTCACACTTTAGATTTCCCTTTCTGCCAATAGGGGAAGTCTAACCTCAGCCAGATCACACCAGTCTGGTCAAAGCCACCCAGGGGGTCTCAGCTTATTTGGAAAGCTCCTGGCAGCCATTGGTGCAGACTGCTAGCATTTGGGGCAAGAGAATGTATTTAGTATCTGTGCTCATGGTTCTTCATCCCTCCTGTCCTGAGGTCACTGGGCTGGCTTGCTGATCTCAGCCTCTGGTCAGATCATAGACAGGCACAAGGGATGGGAACAGAGAAGATGAGACCACACTAAATGGGGTCTTCTGGATGAACTTCTCACAGGGTAAGAGCAGTCCTTAATGGGTGTAGGATGTCATGGGTTTGCTTGACTGGAGTGATATAAATCATAATGTGAGTCTGCCCAAGACAGAGAAATTTATGGCATTGCTCTGCACTGACACAAAGCTTTCCATTATGCAGGCTCTGGAGGGAGATGGGCAAAGGGTCTTCCTGTGGCTGCTGAGCTTTTCAGTGTCAGCCAGTTATGCTCTATGCCCAGTGTCCAGTGGGAGGCAGCTACTCCATACTCTGTCAACCACTGACATCTGTCTCCCACCCAAAGCAGCAGGTGATGGGAGCTGAGATGCATGTGGGAGGGGTCACAATCCAACCCAGCTCCTTCTCAGGCCCCTGGAAGCCACCTTGACCCAATTCCCCAAGGTCTTGAGAAGGCTGCATTTTTTGTTTGTTTTCAACACAGGGTTTTGTAGGCTTGGCTGTCCTGGAACTCACAGAGATCCACTGCCTCTGGCTCCCCAAGTACTGGGATTACAGGTGTGTGCCACTGTGCCCAGCTTGGCTGCATTTTTTTAAACGTATAATGCTCTGATCTCCAAAGTTCAAGCACACACATAATTTCCTCGCTTATAAATAGATAGCTGTCTGCTGCCCTGCCCCTGTCCAGCATTACTGTTAGAAGAACATGCTGTGCCCCATAACTCGCTTGTGTGCAGATGTCCCTGATGCCAAGACCCATCTTTTAAATTTTGTGTAGGGGTATTTTACCTGCATGTCTGTGCATCACATGCATGCAGTACCCATGGAGACCAGAAGAGGGAGTCGGATCATCTAGAAGTTACAGATGATTGTGAGCCACTGTGCTGTTGCTGAGAACCCAGAAGCTCATCTCCCCTTTCAAACTTGGGATGGAAGGCAAAAAGTCGAATTCCTACATTGTGGTCAAATGGCATCAGATGTGTGAGCCATTTCAAGAGGTCCAATTCCCTGTTTTTAAAAAAGTATAGGGGGCTCAGAAGCTAAAAGCACTTGCTGCTCTTGCCGTAGACCCTACAGAGACCATTCTCATTCAAACTACTATATAGACCCTTTCTGGCTCTTCTCTAGCTGCTGTAACCTCTTCCCAGGACCCCACATAGTACAGGGTACTAATGAATTGCTGAAGGACAGGCACCTAGGCTCATCTGTCCAAGATGAAGATAAACAGGAAACTGAATGCACATTTACACATCATTATGATCAGGTAGGAAACATCTCTTTAAGCCTTGTGAAAATGAGAAATTAGGTCTGAGTTCTAGAGGGGAAAATAAAGATAAACGGCTGGGGGCATTAACATATAAAATGTCTCAACGATCAGTGAGGGCAGAGCTAGGGAAATGATAGATAAACCCTCTCCATCACAGTCCTGAGGCCCAGGATCTGTCCTGCCCCCTTCAGTATTCATGTGCCAAACAGGCACAAAAAGGCAAATGTCGATCTCATGGACCTTAGCCCTTGGTGCCTGTGGCATGGACTATCACCACAGGGCCTACTAATCAGGCTACCTACCTTAGATCAGAGCTGTCTTTCACCTTTGGCTTGGAGAGACTCAGTAAAGCAGACAGACACGGTCCTGAGCCAGAACACCTCCCTCTTGTATCACAACAGTGCAGTAACTTGGAGATGAGCACATCCTTGGTATACTACAGACCCAGCTTGGTATCACTTGTCTCCTTCATCCTTTTGTGTTTCTGATGTTTTATTCAGCCTACCACCGATGTCTAACAATCCCTTTAAAAGACCTCATTCCCAAAGAACAAGCTGTTAGATCTTAACACTTTAAAATAGCCACGGAAGTGATCTGTTCTTTCTGAGAATCCACATAAGATGCTTGGAGAGTCAACAGCACAGATACATCCCAAGAGTTGCATGAAGGGTGTACTTGGCACTGAGTAAAGCAAGCTACAGTGTGAGACCGGGATACTTTGTTGCCTCAGATTGAGAAATGACATTTTGAAAGGGTCTTCAAATCCTGCAGCTGGCAGTGTTTTTCTGCACACACACACCTTTCCCAAGAGGCAACAGCAACCTGTGGACATTAAGCTGTGACATGGTCTAGTGTCCTGCATGTGTGGAACCTTGTAGCAAACAAAGTAGACATGGCCATGGTCTGCTCAAGTATCACCAACTGCAGCCCTGAGGAACCAAGCACCTTGGAAGAAGCTGGTTTTATAAAAATCTCTCTGCTTCTGCCTCAGGCTCTGGGTACACAGAGTTCGCCAGCCACATCTCATGAAAAAGTTGGTCTGTCTCCACGGAGAGACTAGCTGAGGTAACTAACACAGCCAAGCACTCAGGGCAGACACAGCTTTAGAAACCCCAAACAGTACAGCTCAGTTTGTGTTTATTCAACTGCTTGTTTAGAACTGCAGATCAAATTGACTGCTGATGAAGGTCAAGGCTTAGGACTACCACTTGCTCTTCCACAGCCAGGTCCCACAAGGTCCCAGTACAAGTACATCATCTGCAGACAACCAGGACTGGAGGTGAATCAGGTACCTATCATGCTCTTTCCCAGGTTTGACTAACATGCCAGATCATTTTCAAACCTGGGCAGCATGGTGAGAGAAAGCCACTCAGTCTGCTCAGTTCCAGGCACCCACCCCCAGCCAGCAACCTGTGGGTGCTATGGCAACTCCCATCACTGGCTGCTGCCCATCTCCAGCTGAAGGTGCCACTCACAGAGTGTGGCTAGTACTGAAGCCAGCACCATTGTGTCTCATTTGAATGATGAATGCTCTTACCACTCAGCAAACTCAGAGGTTAAAACCAAACCCCAGGAGCTCTGAAACAGATCACACGGGCCCTTTTTATCACACCCAGGTCTCTTGCCAAGCTACCACTCTTGTCTGAGAATGCTCCTTGGGTGGTCACGGAGCTGGGGAGGCCATAGCTACCTATGACCCACTCACACCCTGTGTGTCTAGAGTACACACAGTGGAGGCAGAGTTCCTTCTCTGTGACCGTCTTTCGTGGAAATAAGATCCAGTGAAGAAAACCAACTCTGAAAAAGTTACAAGTTTTACCTGGGGTCGGGGTTTGCATATATTCCATCTGTGTGTAGGTTAGGGAACAACTCATGAAAACTGGTTCTTCTGTCGTGTCTGCAAATCTCAAGCTTGGTGACAAGTACCTTTCTTTACCTGCTGGGCACTCTCACCAGACCAAGAAAGCCTACATTGTGACAGAAGGAGGTTAACGACTTCAGCACCTAGCTTCTCTTAAGACAAGCTAAGCTCTAAAGAACTACCTCCCTTCAGAGCCAAAAGGGGTATGGTGGATGGTTTTCATCCTGAAGCCTTTCTACCTGGTGTGTGAGAGAGGCAAAGACAGAAGGGTTTCTGTCTGTGGGGTTTCTTGCAGAAGTGTACTTGAATACTGTGGCTCTAGTGCTTGGCCAGAGGAATGAAAGGCTGAGCTGGCAGCAGCTTCTGCCATGAAATGAACCTGTAAGGAGTATGCTGAACTAATGCAGAACATGGAGAAATCACCCAGGAAGCTCTTAGTGCCATGTCTGAGAAGCTTTTATAAAATTATACAAAACACAGCAACACACAGAACAGCTTAGTTGACAAACTCAGAACCCTGGATATGTCAGTAACAATACAAAGGTGGGCAAATAGCCCAACAGCTCCCGTATTTTCCCACTGACCACCCGCCTCACTGCTACACAAAGTTCTAGGAAAAGATCTGCCTGGTATAGTTTCCAATGTCCTGCCAGCTGCTGTCTGGTTTCGGCGAGAACATGGTGTCCTCAATTATCACTGATGCATGTGCTTAAAAAAGCAGATCAGTAGTTCAAGAGCTAAGTGCTGCTGACTATGGTGACAGACATCTGAATCTCAGCACTGGGTAGGCAGACAGAAGGTAGCCCGAAGTATGAGGCCAGCCTAGTCTAAGACGACCTTTCCTACCTCAGCCAACAAAACCTACTTTCTGAGCAGATGAGTCTAAACTTCTGACCCGCAAAGGCCTTGGCATCAGCAAGACCTGTGACAAAAGACCATGAATGAATGGAACAGATGCAGCTCCTATAGCCCTCATGCCTTCAATCACAGTTTCATGTCTAAAGAGAATCCTCGTACCCCTTGATGGAAGTGCTTGCTAATCTTAAAGAAAGGAGATGCTATGAGGAAGAAGTAACAGTGTTGGTAAGGAACAGGATGCCAACAGCAGAATACTGGCTACCCAAAACTCTAAAGGAGGAAGCATGGCTGGCTTAGGACTTGCAGAGACCTTCAGTGAGAAAAGCCACGTTCTCATCTCCTGACAGGCCCAGTGTACATGAGACAGACCACAGTAAGGCACTCACCACGCTCATCGGGCACAAGGAGGGAGAAGCCAGTCCAAACAACATGCAAGTTCAGAAGTTGGGACACCAACACTCTGGCCTCAACCTGCCTGCTGGTAGTACCCTGGTGGCTAGCAGGCCCTGAGGCCTTACAGTCTGCAGAACCTGTAAGCATGCTGGCTTGCTGCATCAGGTCCTCGTGTTGGCTGGCCTCCCATCCGCCCTGGCTCGCTGGCGGTCGTACTTCACAGACACGATGAGGAAGAGCAGCAATGTAGCTCCCTGAATGGCGGCCAGCAGGAAGAAGTAGTAATGCAGGTGACAGCTGTTGATATTCCCTAGGAATGAACAGACACCTCCTGTGAGTATACTCCACAGATGGGAGACCTTCGCACTGGCTTTTGGCCACCTAAGAAGGCAATGGGCCCTAACCACCTCTCTCCCATCCTGGAGAGAGAGAAGGCAGTTCTCCTGGTCCCAGCTCTGATGCTGAGGAAGGCTTATGAGGCTGGGTGTCAGCTCAGGCCTCTCAGAGATGTTCCTGAGGTGACCTACACTGTCTCCCCCACAGAGAAAATCTGTGAGAGAAGCTCCCTGTGCTTCTGCCCCTGATAGTATCTACGGCACGCCATTCACTTCTGCCTCTCCTGCCACCCATTCACAGCTACTGTTTACGTTCAGCATAGTGATGTTCCTGAGGATGGACTAAACCCATACCTCATTTCTCTTAACAAATGGAACACAGCTTTGCCCTTGTTCTGTTTCCAGCTCTGCCGTGCTCCCTCATGGCCAGTTACACACCCATTCTCCAGAACCTGTCTCCTCTGCTACTACAAGGAACAGGTCTTTGACTCGACTATGACGAGGTAGCATCATCTTATGTGCAGTGTTGAAGCTGGCAAGGCGAGTGGACAGACAGTGTGATTATGTCCATACTGTCAGCCCCAGAGCAAAAAGCACAGCACAGCTTACTAGATCCAGCCTCATTTGGGAATGTGCAGAAAATTCAAACGTGTGCCCATCACCAAAAAAGGCAGCTGACCTAGGCTGTCATAGACAGGGGAACATAATGAGGGGTTTAAAAAGTGTTGTGAGAGTTCATTTGCCTCCAGAAGGCCTGAACAGCAATGCCCACCACAGCTCTTTCAAAATGCCAACACCAGAAACACCAACATCCATCAGGGCAGAATGAACAAGTTCACTGCAACACAATCCTGTGAGGGAATGGGACTCAGGATCACCAGGTCAACATGGAGCCTCTCAAAACATGAGGTGCTTGAAAACAGAGGAGAGAGCCTCAGGGTGACTCTGCGAACAGAACGTGCCTGTGCAGGGTCAGCAGAGAGGAGGCATGACAGAATTCTGCACTAGCAGCATGGGACACATGCTTGGCCAGCACTGGGCTGCAGGAGTGTCATTCCCACTTAGTGTCTGAGAGGCTAGAGTACAAGAAACAGCCCAGCTGAAGCCTAAGGGGCCCTGACACCTCACAAGGACTCCCTAGCCCTCCAGGGACACTACATAAGCTCTGGTTATCTCTTTTGCGACAATGTTGACATGGAAGGGTGGGGGAAGGGCCCAGTGGCTGTGCACCTGCTGGGAAGAAGGGGTGCTGGCCTGGAGCTACTGCCCTTCTGCAGGAGGTATTCTGGAGAGACCAGGATACACCAGGGCCCTTTCACAGCACTGACCCCACCCCCTAGTACAAAGAGGCTGCTGGGCTCTGCTAGGTGCTCCCTTGAACACACACTGGATGCACAGCAATCAGAGGAATTCCCCAGAGGCTTAGATGCAGCCTATCAGAAATAAACAGCTGGGGACATTGACACATTAAAATTATGCCCAGCAGCTGTGACACCTGCCTTTAATCCCAGCACTCAGGAGGCAAAGGCAGGTGGATCTCTGAGTTTGAGGCCAGCCTGGTCTAAGGAATGAGTTCAAAAACAGCTGGAGCTACACCCAGAGAAACCTATCTCAAAATAATGAAGAGCACAGAGCCTCAGCCAAGTGCAGTGGCTCACACTTGTAATCCCAGCACTTGGGAGGCAGAGCCAGTGCTCTCATACATAAGAAGGTGGTCAGAGTTGATGCAGTGTCCCCAGGTGGACTAGAGAGTACCTGTAAGGCTACATCGTTTCCTTCACTCCAGCCCCTTCAGGCACTTCCTCACCACTGCCTCCTAAATAAGAATAGTATTCCTGCACTTGAAGGCCTAATGGCCTGAGTTTGACCCCTCAGATCCCAAAAAGAAAGGATACAAGTGACTCCTGAAAGTTGCCCTCTGCACACACCTGTAGTATGTGCATATATAATATAACAGTAAACATTTTAAAGTAAACAATACTTAGAATCCTAGTCTCTGTGATGACCATTTGAGAAAGTCTGCATCCTGCAGGCTGACTCCATGACACCCAGAACCACTCCACAGCGCTGCTCCAGGACTGTCACCTTCCTAGGGGGATGGGGAGCAAGGGCAAGCCCCAGGCCCATTTCACAACTGGCCTCACATAGCTAGAGTCAATCACAGGCATCCAAGAGAGTTGGGAGAAAGGGAGTTCAGGCTTCTGGGCAATACTAGGACTTCAAAGGAATCCAACTCAAGGCTCTGGGAATCCCACAATTTCTAGAGAAAAAGTCCTGACTTTCCCCAAGTTATGCAATGAAAGTGGGTAAGTGCTACAAAGCTGGGCAAATGCTCAAGTGCAGCCATTTGTACATAGGGAACATGTGCATGTTTAAAAGACAGAGGATGCTATAGCTCCTGGTTTACCCACAGCACTGTAGAGCTGCCCAGATAAACAGCCAGGAGCCACCTCCAGGAGCATCAGACTGACCAAGAACAGTGTTCACTGACAGAACCACTACCTTCTAACATCCGAAAACCAAAATAAACCGCCAGGTATCAAAACTTAAGATCAGGTTGACAGGAGCCATCATGTAGGTCTCACTGCCTCATGCAGCTTTCCAGAAGTGCTGAGCTGGGCATAGCAGCTGCTGGCAAGGCAGTGTTACTAACACAAACTTCACCCGAGTTTGGGCCAATGGCTTCTTGGGACACACTGAATCTTTACAAAATCCACAGCAGCAGCAAGCACCCTGGTTTTCCACCCCAGATATCAAATCTTACCAAAGTCTGTATGGCTGCTCATCCACCCAATGGACTTGAGAGACACCAGGGCCAACAGTCCTGAGCCCACAAAGGACCCGATGCCAGAGAAGAAGAAGAAGAGTCCCATGATGGCGCTCTGCATGGACTTGGGGGCAGCTGAGTATGCAAACTCCAGACCTAGAGAAAAGGAAGCCACACTGAAAAGACCACCTCGGTCGCCCTGAGGAGGCCACCCTGAGCCTGCTCCACAGCAGCACACACAGGCTCTACTGGGGTCTAAGCACTCTCAGAACACTCTCTTGGAAACACACATAGATGGAGAGGTCAGAGCTAGGTGCCGGCCACTCATCCACACGACAGATCTATAACCACATCAAGAAAGGGCACTGTTCTCACTTGTAAGATCTTCCTATTAGATCTTGAGGTTTGCCACACGACAGACATATGGTGTCTCATATGCCTAGCATTCAACAGGCTATGGCAGGAGGACTGTTGCAAGTTTGAGACCAGTGAGGCTGCAGTGTTAGATCCTTTCTCAAACACTCAAGAGGTATGGGGCTGGAGAGATGGCTTGGTGTTTAAGAGCACAGGTGGCTCTTGCAAAGGACCAGGATTCTATTCCTAGCACCGTCTGTAACTCCAGTTTTAAAGGATCTGGTGCCTTTTTCTGGCCTCCATGGGCACACTGCATGCATGCGGTATACACATATGCATGCAGGCAACACACTCATAGATATAAAATGAATAAATATCCTTAAAAAGTCAAGACTTGAATGTGCTGGCGTTGGGGGGAGACACACGACTCTATAAGGACCCTACTTCACAGCTAACCCACAGCACAACAGGTTCAAGTATGTGCAGATTCCTAGCACCAGGCAGGACAAAAACAAAGCAAAGCCCACTTTCAGTAGTCATGGAACCCTGCCAGGGTTTAAAAACTGAGGAAGCAACATGTTCCTCTTACCCCTCAATACCCATTTCCTGAGATCATCAGCTCCTCTCTTCCCACTGCTGCATAGCCAACCTGCCCAAGCCTTGTCCTGCAGAGTTTCACTAGTGGCAGGGGCCCATGAGAAGAAGCTCTGTAAGTCAGGTTTGTCCCTTCAGGTAAGTCTGCACCAGCCACACAGCTTTGCTCTGCAGAGTTTGGGGACACACAGGTCCAGAGGAAGCCCTCCATGGCAACTTCCCCCTCCTTCCTATGGGACACACAGGGCAGATCATGGACTCATGAGAGTATCTTAGGGAACACTGGTTTTGCACAAGAAAGGGCAGTCTTAGCCCGAGGACTATGGACTACTATTTACTGAATCATACTTTAAGTGATACCCCCCCCCCCCATACCTCCAGCTTAAAACACCATGGCCCTGCTCTTCACAGTGCAGGGTATAATACAGACAAGTCCTAATGCCACCAGCACTCACAGCCTCACCTGCTATACTTGCAAATATCTCACTGATGCCAATGAGCACATATTGTGGGATCTGCCACCAGATGGGTAGGTCAGCGGCATGGTATACCACACCACCAATGGTCTGGTTGATGGTCTTCTCCTTCACCAGGTCCAGTCTTTTACTCTCCAGGATTCCTGGAATTGAGAAGCAGGTCAGTGTAGCACTAAATTGTCATTTGGCTGAGTCTGCAGTATATTGCAGGCATTTATCAACAATTTTGAAGGTATAAGAAAGGAGGGTGACCATGACAGCTTCTTAGGCAGGTCACAGTCATGTCATCTTCCTCACCAGAGCATTTTACATTCAGCATGATTTGTTTAAACACTCAAGTGTCTGGACTACTAGTTCTGTCCATCTTTTTAAAACTGGGAGGATGCATGAGGATCTGCATGTAGATAACGGTCACTGGTAGAGGCAGATACTCCCTTCATAGCATAGCCATTGTGAAGTTTCCCATGCTCCTGTAAACAAAGACACCACCACAGGCACACAAGTGGGCGTGCATGTGAGCACACAAATGCACACACAAAAAATGCTGAACGTGCAGTCCTTGAAATAAATGGGCCCAACTCTCTACACAAAGTTCAAAGACTTGCCTCAGAAAGTAAAATAAAACTGAGACTGTGGGCAGACCAAAATGAGGCACCACACAGGGAGGCCATGAGGCCCTGGGTGACGAGACAGCACAGCAATGATGTGGAAGGGAAGACCTAGAAAACAAGCACTGAAAACCTCAGCAACAAGGTTGTGCCACTTAAGGACTGTGCCTTGGTAACCAGAAACCCCCAAGTCCTCAACATAGGACTAGTGATCTCCCTCAACTCTACAAAATGAACCATCACTAACAAAAGCACAAATATGAACCTCAGTACCAAAGTGAAACGCTGAAGAACCCCACATGACGGCCAGATCAAATGGAAAGCAAAGTTCTGGTCCAGTGAGACAGATCAGTGAAGACAGTGACACCAAACCTGATAACCTGAGTTTAAAGGCCACAGCGTATGGTGGGTGGGAAGAACAGTGAGGCAAGCTGACCTCTAAGCTCCACACATGTGCTATGGCTGCACACCGTCACCCCCACATCCACACAAAATAAAAGTTTTAAAAAACTTGCCAAGCAGGGTGGCACACACCTTTAGTCCCAGCACTCAGGAGACAGAAGCAGAAGGATCTTTGAGTTCAAGGCCAGCCTGGTCTACAAAGCAAGTCGAGGACAGCCCGGGCTACACAGAGAAACCCTGTCTCAAAAAACAAAACAAAAACAAAAAAACTACAGTAAACAAAGGATAGCTGTAACAGCAGGCAAGTGCTCAGTGTTATCTTTCACCCTTAAACAACAAAGAGGGTCTGGGAAGATAGCTCAGCAGTTAAGAGCACTTGCTGTTCCTGCAGAAACCAGAGTTCTGTCCCCAGGACCAATGAGAGACAGCTCATAATCACTTGTCACTCCAGCTCCAGGGTATCTTACACCCTCCTCTGGCCTCTGCAGGCACTGCATGCACAAACCCACACAGAAACCTGTAATTAAAAGTAAAGAGGGCTGGGGAGGTAGCTTAGTGATTAAAAGAATTTACTGATTCCACAGAGGGTCCAAGTTTGGTTCCAGAACCCACAGCAGGCAGCTCCCAATTCCCTGTAACTCCAGTTCCAGGGATATAACGCCTCCAGCTTCCATGGGCACCTTCTTTCATATATATATATATATGTGTGTGTGTGTGTGTTTGTGCACATGCGTGTGTGTATGCATATATATGTATGTATATATAATCTTTTTTTTTTAAAACAATCTGAAGTAAACACCTAGAATAATGAAATATCAAGAAGTTATTATGAGCAGGAAAAAAAAAAAACCTGCTGCCGGGTAGGAGTAGGAAGTAAGTATTTCTCTTGGCCACCAAAGGAAGGGAGGTCACAATTCCTCAATACCAACACATGTGTAATAATGCTTAGTTTGTGAGATCGCCAGTGCCACCAACTGCAAATATATAACCTGATAGCAGGTCTGAGGACCACTCTGGCCAGAGCCAGGCACAGACTACACTGGAAGAAATTTCCAGCAATTTCACCCAAACCGTTCAGCAGAAGCAACATAATTATACCCACACACCCATGCCCACATGAATCATCAAAAGATACAGAGGAACTATTATATTTAAAATAATCCACCAGAGCCCAGAGGATTTTGAAAAATGCCACATAAAAGCTGCTAAAATATGCAGAGTAGTTACAAATTTAACAAATATAAAAGTAAAAAAAAGAAAATGTTTTTAAAATACGAGTCAAAACTTAGCTCCGTTGTACACACTAGAAAAACCGTACCCAAAGAAACAGAGATGGTAACAAGTTGGAGTGGGAACTTAAGCATCAGGAATGACAGATACAAAAGAGTGATATATTTTATTTTAACCTTTCAGGTAAAAGGAGAGGAAGGGACACAAAATACACAGCTGGGTTTGACAGTCACACCTGGAAGTCCAGCATTCAAAGGATCATCAGTCCCAGCAAGTCTGGACTATACAACAACTGTCTCAAAAACATAATCAGGGGCTGGAAAGGTGGCATAGATGTCTAGAGCACTGTCCACTTTTGGAGGACCTGGGTTCCAGTTCCAGCAATCAGTGGGTGATTCACATCATCTGTAATTCCAGTTCCTGGGGACCCAACACCTTCCTCTGGCCTCCATTGGTACTGCACGCACACTGCACAGATATCAATGCAGGCTAAAACACTCATACATATAAAATAATAAAAGCTTTTAAAGGTAAAAAAAAAAAAAAACAACAACACAATTTTTAAGTGTAAAAGTAAAACCTAATGCATGCATACACTTTCTTTTCCCTTAGGCTATCTTGAAAATAGTGTCTGGCCTACCCAATTTAAACCTGAGGGCCTTTAGAGCCAGCTGCCACTGACAGTGTAAGTGGAGCTGTGTGTCCTTTGTATTAAGTGCAAGGTGAAGTCTTAGGCTTCTATGAAAAGTCTGTGGACACTCTTCAGCTCCATCCCTAACTGGCCAGCCTATGTGCAGCAGCAATGATGTCTCCATCTGAGGCAGCTCAGCTCAACTAGGCTGTGACTCTCAACTCCTGATAAGCCAGCTCCTTCCTATGATCTCGTTCACTTAGCAAGGACAACTCCTTGGGAAGACAGGTCAGGAGGCTGCCTGACTGCAGCTAGTGCTGGACCCTATGAAACACATACTGTGCTGGCACTTTTAAAAGACCTTAGAAGGGATGGAGCCTAATGAGGAAATCTCAAGACACTGTCCTGAACAGATCTACGCAGAAACCACAGGTTTCCCCATGTGGCACTGAGTACACCCAAAAAAGCGCCTCAGCCATGAATAAAACTGAACTAAAAGGCCACAGAGAAACCCAACACAGGGCTCTATGAGAAAATGCCCCTGAAAAAAATGAAGGAAACAAAAGCCCCTCAGGCACCTTGCTGGCATAACTGCAGGATGCAGGGGACCCTCCCAGGAAGAAAATCTGAGAACAAAGCCAAGCCTTAGGCAGCTGAAGCAGATAGACACTCCTTTCAGCCCAGGACTTTTACGTACTGTTTACTTCCCTGCCGACTTGTAATATAACATGTCACTCAGACAAACCTCACTTTAATTATGCGTTGGACCACTACTAACACAGTGGTTCTCAAATGCCCAGCACCTAGAAGATTGACCTGTTAAGCAAGGGACTGATCTCTTTAAGCCTGTAAAGCACCGCATCACTGTATGCTCTGCTGTGATGGAGGAAGCACTTTGTCAAACACCCGCTCCCTTCTGCAGAGCTCAGCACCACCTTCCTCAGTCCACAACTATGTTTTCCTGACACTACATGTTTTTATGGCTCAACATTTCCAAATATTATTGGAGGCAGAATGCTCACATTGAAAAGGCGACAAGACCCTAGCCTCATCAGCAAACAGAAACAATTGTGGGAACAGGAGTGTCTTAAAGGCACTGTCCCTTGCTGGAATGTGATATGGGACCTGAGGAACTAGCTTTTTAGCTGTTGAGACTTTTATTTGGAGCTTCCTAGAAGCCTCAAACAATCCCACAAAACCTTTTTCTCCATGCAGGCACACTGCAGGCTCCACCAACCGTGATTCAGAGGCCATCACATAATCTTCTCCTCTCACTGCCCACTACACGGCATGTTGGCCTGCAGGCTAGGGCAGCACAGAGCAAGTCTACTCAGCCCTAGACGAACAAGGTTTGTCCTCGAGAAAACAAGAATCATGTAAAATATATATCAAAAGATGAAGAGTCACCAGCTGCCCAGTGTCTCCTCCAGCACAATACACTAGCTGCTGCATGCTACCGAAGCCAAGCCAGAAGAGGGAAAAGGAGAAGAGGCCAAGAGAAATGGTGGCTCACCTGCAGCAAAGGCAGAGCACATGACGAAGAACATTCCCACGGCAATTCTCTTCAAGGAGGATGGAAGCAGGCCGTGTCTCCTGAGCACGGGGTCCACTAGCTTGTCCTTCAGTGGGATGAGCAGGAGAATGAGCACCGCATCGAACATGGTGAGCCAGGCTGCAGGCAGCTGCACAGAGCATGGCATTAGCTGCAGTACAGCAGCTCCCCAGACCACCCATGCATGGTTACCTCCAAGATGCTTCAACTAGAGACACTAACTCGCAATGGGTGTGTTCTTAGCTGAAGAAGGGGCTGAATCTGACAGTACTAGTGTTTACTGGAACTGGTCAAGCCAATCTCAGCAGGCTGTAACCAATCAGGAACTAGTTGTAGTGGCAGTATCCCAGCTACTTGCTGCAGCCACAGAAAGGGACTTATGTCACCTCCATGTCTCTTACCGTGTGATGGGTGGTGGTGATACTTGAGATTTCTGGAATCTTCAAATGAAGACTCTGCAAAACGTATGTGGTCTGCATCTGGATAAAAAAAAGCAGACAGGTAAACCAGCAGAGCCTCTCCGAGCCCTCCCTTCTCTAGCTAAGGTATGGCCACACCTCTTAAGAATCAGATGGTGGCTGCAGTTTGGAATCAGACATGGAAATTACTGGGTCACCAGAGAGTCTCTTTGGGAAGAACTGCTAGGCAACCAAATGAGAAGCTAGAAGGTCCAGAAAACAAGAAGTACATGCACTCTCAGCTGCTACTTGGGAAAAGTTTTCCAGGAGGAAGCAGCCAGCCTGAGTCTATGACTGGAAACTATGGCAACTCATGGCCAACCCTGAGCCCTGCACCGCAGCACCTGCCACAAGACTGGGGCAGCCAGCCACCTGTAGCACTCACTTGGAAGTACACTGTCCAGTAAGGAATCAGAGCCAAGAACACGGGCACGATCTTGACCAGAGCTTTCACATCTTCTACTTTGTCCTCTGTGAACGGCCCTCCACGCGACATCTTACATGAATCAAACAGACTGTGTTTAGAAGATTGCTGAAAGACTCCAAGGCCTTCACTTTGGGAAACAAAATGAAGGAATTAGTTTACTTCCACCCCCAGTGACAACGCTCTGGTAACAAATCACGTCTGGGGTGGGAAAGCGGCTCTCTGCACTCCCCGCTTTAAGTCCTTTTGTGACTAACTGTTATACCACACACAGCTCCTTTCACTGACCATGGGACCTTTGGACAGAGCAGCTGTCTACTACACCCACAAGGAGGGCATCTCAACTTTGTGCATCTCCAAGGACAGCAATGTTGCCTAGACTTCCAGCTAGCTGACAGCAATGCAAGCAATCCCTATGTTCCTCATTCCTGCACGGGTTTATCACACAAAGAGACACTCAAGGGACTAGAGGTTGTAGGGAAAGCAGCATCTGCGTCTGTGATAAAGGACGGTCTAGAGTAAAGAACCATGATGAAAACTATAGCAGGGTGATAGAGAACATGGCACTCACTCACCCATCTTTATGAAAAGCCTGGGAAGTCTTGCAAGGCTCTTACTGTCCCATTTCAAAGAGGAAGTTAGGACACAGACAAGAAAAGAGCCGTATCAAGATCCCAATGCCTCAGCATTAAGGTCAGGACTGGAGTGAGACCATCTTGGCTTACAGGTGCATGCCTGGATACCCATACCTCATTCACAGCTGTGGGTAACAGTGTAGAAATAAATGAACGTCCTTGCCTCTCCATCTACAGTCTTTAAAAACTGAATGGGGCCCTCCAGTCAGCAACAAGGTCTTCTTCCCCAGCTGCACACTACCAACAGGAACTGTAGGGAACTATGCACTGCTGACCAAAACCAACAAGAGGCACTCAACCCTACTGAGAGCCTCCCAGTTCCAGATTTTGGAATGGCAGTTGTCTGAATTCAAGTTTATAATCCTAGACCCTATTTTAAATTATTTTAATTTTTTTCTTACTTTATATATGTGGTTTGCCTATTTGTATGTTTTGTCTTTGGAGACAGGGTCTCACTATGGAGTCCTAGCTGTCCTGGAACTTGCTACATAGACCAAACTGTCCTCAAACTCCCAGAGATCTGGAAGTCTCTGATGTAATTAAAGGTATATGCTAACACACCCAGCTTGCCTGCATAAATGTAAAGTATACTATATGTGTGCCTGGTGCCCTTGGAGTCCAGAAGAGGGCAATGAATCCCCAGGAAGCAGAATTGTGGAAGATTGTGTGGGTGGTGGGAACCAAACTCAGGTCCTCTGCAAAATCAAAGTTCTCTTAACCGATGAGCTCTCTCAGGCCTATTATTTTTAACCTATAAAGCAGATGCTCTTAATCTGTGCATAATGATGTGAACTCAGACTTTCAGGCTTTGTCTAAGATCAGCACCACATCTTCCTCTAAAGACATCAACCAAGACATATACATGGACTGGGCCAAGTCAGACCCATGGATAACAACTATGTGGCACTTCCTGAGCTCTTCAGTGGCACTCCAGGCACCCCCAATTGCACAGTGATGGGCCCCATAGGTACTAGGCTGCTGAGAGCCTTGCACATCTCACTGTATTGTGCCCTCACATTAATCCTGACAGCAATCTAGCTCCCCTGGGTGAATACCAAAGTCAGGCATTGTAATGTCTCTAAACAGCCAGGACCCATAGCAAGTTCATTCAACGTAGATGCCTTACCAACCCTTTTGCTTAGTTTTGCCCCCAAAGACTTCCAAAGCTGAAGCTCAGAGGAAGCCAAGCTGCTCAGTCTCACTTTCCTTATACCATGTAAGCACTGAAATCTCACAGGTCCTGAAGCAGAGCTGGACCCTGGCTGAAAGGTTCTTATAAGGGGTACCTGCAAAAGGCTGTCCCCACAGCTATCTATCTAGATTGGAAACAGTTAAGGTCAACAACACAGCTTCTATCTGACAAAGTAAGGCCCTGGTAAAAACCAGGATGTGCTGAAGCTGGGTGATGTCCAGCTTTGCACATTCCTCAGTGCTAGTCCCCCTTTGGACAGATTCCTCAGTGCTAGTCCCCCTCTGGGCAGGCTCTAAAAGCTGCCAGAACAAACAGCCTTCCCAGCAGGTCCATGAAGGAGGTTGGGAGAGTCAGATATCACACAAGGGACTCATGAGCCACCTGCTGAGCCACAGGAGTCACTCTATGTAGCTTCAAGTCTGCCACACGAGGCTTCCAGTACACCAACAACAGATACAGACAAGCACACGAGTGGGTGTGCACAATGGCCTGCAGAATACTTTTGCAGCTAGGGCCATACCATAGGAAGTCTCACAGACCAGGAGTCTACCTTTCTCAGTAACTACTGGGAATCCTTAGGCTCAGCAAATCACAAGGAGGGAGAGGACCACCAAAGTCCTTGGACCTCGGTTTTCTATGCCTTGACTGTTCTGGTAGCTATAGTGCTGCAGTATCCTCGTATGTCACAGCCACAGTCAAGGGACCAGTTTACTATACATAGCAGCTTGCAAAAACAGAAGCATTTAAGTCCTTCCCATGATGATTTCTGGATTTTATTAACCTACACAGAACAGGCCCATGGGTCACCATCAGCAGAAGCAGGGGAATTTCAGAACATGGCTATTCCTAAAAGTCCCAGGCTTGGGACCTTCAGCATTGAGACTATGCAAATCCCATTCAAGTAAGGGTAAATGGGTCCCCAAGTGCATCTCAAGCTATTTTTGTATGCCCCTCTATCACAGAGTAGTTGGTAAGGCCCTGGATGAGGGATGCTGTGCTGACCAAAAAGCAGCTTCCTTTAGAGACAAGTGCCTAAAACATACACAATAGCCTAAGTTCTCATTAACATACGTCTGTGTCTAAAGCAAACACTGTGTCTCCTTGGTACCCTCTGGAGATCCCTACCTTCAAAATCTGCCACCTAGCAGCAAGGCAAACCTCACCCATGCTGGCAGTGAGGAAGTTGGGCATAGAGTACTGAACTCAGGGCTCTGCTATCCTAATGGCAGGGTTACACCACATACTTTCTGAATAAGGCTGACACACATCCTATACCTCAGCTGGTCACTTTATCTGCAGGGAGCAAAAAGTTGTGTCACTCACCCGCTTCTCTGCTGTCCACCTCTCTGGGAGCAGCAGCTGTAGGTCAGAATCCTAAACATGTCAGTGAAGGCGCTGCCATCAGGAGGCTTGGTGATGAAGACACTCTGTCCACAGAGGAATACCAGGAAAGCAATGGCCACACAGACTGTGGGAATCAGGTAGCCCGTGAGAAAGCTCACATTCTGCTGAATATAGGCAATGCCTCCTAACGACAGGATTGCTCCCAAATTAATGCTCCAGTAAAACCAATTGAAAAATCTCCGAGTAGCTTCTGGACCTCGATCTTTGACCTAAAATAACATGGAAGAAAAACACATAAGAACATGTGATCCTCTACACTCTTCATTTATTCTTCCAATATGACAAGCTTCAGTGTTTTTAATACTCAATGACTTCCCAACTACCTATACCAGCTACAAGCCCTACCACCATACTTACCTAGTACCTGATCGTATGCATGTTGAGAGCAGATATAAGGTATCTCAAGCTCCTGCTCAAAAGCTGGAAGCCTCTCCAAATGCCAGCAAGTCCTTGTGTTCAAAGTAAGGTGACCACCTACCTTGAAGCCAGCAGGTATGATCCTTAAAACAGGTTCCAGAACCCACAGCCAGCCCAGGCCCGAAGAATCATCATCACCTTGGACTATCAGGAGCCTGCACACTATATGGAGCCCCAGCCTCACTGAACTTAACACAAGTACTATGACAACCTGCAAAGCAGCTCTGGCCCCATGCACAGTAAGGCTTGCTCAGAGACAAGGTACCACTCTGCATGAGGCCCAAGCATCAGAGTCTCTGATAAGCCTGCAACTAAGCTGTACGCATAGTAAACAGAAACAAAAGGTAGCTTTAGATAAAAAGGTTATCCAGCATTATAATTCCAGCATTTGAGAGACAGAAGCAGGGGAATCATGAGCTGGAGGCTGGGTGAGCTGAACAAAGGATCTCATCAATACACTCAAGAAATGCTCAAAATCAGCCCCAAGCTGACTCTTGTTCCCATGCACACCTTCTGAAGATCCCACCAGGCTGGTAGCTGGGCTGCGGCAGACCCAACCTCAATTATTCCACCTGTACTATCTACATATCCCATGAACACTATAAGAATGGGCCCAGTACCAGCTGACATCAGTCTGGACAGTTTCATTTCACAAATTGTCTTGAGCAAACCTACAGCCAAAAACTGACCTTGAGCACACATAAACACACTTCACCAGCCTTATCCTTAATGGATGGAAAGGGTTAAATATTAGCTCCACAGCATATCTATCTTCTAGTCCACAGAGCACTCTCCTCTGCCTAGTAACAAGCTTTACACAGTAGCAAAGCTACCAAATACAGCACACAATAAGGCTTCTGCTTGGCACTCATGTTTCCCTACAGAGTAGTTAAGATTAAGGTGAGGGTACAAACCATACAGTCAAAACTAAGTATCCCTTGACAATTATTAAACTCCAAATGACACCTACTGCATTGGCAAGTCCTATGTTTGAATTTAGTTAGATGGGCAGTTATGTCAAATTGAAAAATCCAAAATGTTTGTTCTTTTCTTTTTTCAGGGCTAGTGATTGACCACAGGTGTTGGGGGATAGTTTTGTGTACTGTGTATTCAAATGCTGAATGCTGATTTCTATACCCAGAGAACTGGTATGTTGGCACTGTCATTATTATTGAAGCATCTCCAGTCTCAATGTTGTGTAAAAATTGCTCTCCATCACCTGATTGGTTAATAAAAAGCTAAACAGCCTACAGCAGGGCAGAAGAATTAAGACAGGACTTAAAAGGAAGTCCCAGATAGAGAGAGGAGGGGGGCATGAGGGAGTCATCATGAGGACAGACATGGATCAGGGGCAGCAGCCAGGGAAAGAATATGGCAGGTAAGAGAGACATGTGGCTGGCAAGTAGGCCAGGCCAGCACAGCTAGGTTAGAACAACTGAGTATCTGACCAGCTAAATTGCCTAAAGCTATTTTAATAAATATAAACGTCTCTGTCATTATTTGGGAGCTAGAGCAGGTGTAGAAAAGCCTTAATTTTACACACAGTCCTTTACCACTAAGCGCCATTTCCAGGCCCCAAATCAACCAACCAGACATCACTACAGAATAATTTATATTCAGTTTCTTTCAGCTGGTGCACAGTGCCTTTAAATGTTACCCAATGGTAGCTATCAAGGTCTGTGTCACAGTGGAAGCAGGCCAGAAGAAAAAACAAGAGCAGAGAAAGAGAGAAAATAAAAGTACACACACACACACACACACACACACACACACACACACACACACACAC